ACTTTAAACACGAGTATCTACGATTTACCACCATTTGAATAAGTTTCAAGTAATTAAATTTTCTAAAACTCAAAAAGTCAAAATGTCTTATACTTTACATTAACATAGCGTTGATTCTACATGCCCAAGGAATGGAAATAAATGTTATAAGGAAAATAACCATCGTTGAATTTGTTTTGAAAACTATGTATGCAAACTTTTGAAATTGCATGATATATTTTAAACAAATATTAAATTTAACTAGCAATAAACGTAGAAGGAATAATATAACATTAAATATTTCGAGTACCAAACTCTACAACTTAAAAATGCACTAGTCATATTGTAATTATTTTAACACTTAAAACGACAAGCTAGTTTCATTAGATACAGAGCAAATCAATTAAAAAAAGAACACCATCTGTAAGAATTCCATTTTTATTGATAAAGATTTACGTATTGTAAGCCATTAACATTGTCAATATAAGAGTGATGAGTTCACGAAAGTCAATTACGTGCTGATAAACTATTATTTGCGACAACATAATACCGCCAATTACATGAACATATTTGTAACATATTTTCACTCGTAGAACAAATATCAAATCCAACAAGCAATAAACTTATTAGAACTAATACATTAATAAGATGAAAACAGATACTTGAAAACTCAACAATTAAAATAAAAAGCATACCAATCATATTTTAATTATTTCAAAACTGAATACGAAAAAAATTCATTGATACACGACATTTAATAATCAATTTCAAAAACCCAATCTGTAGGAATTCGAATTTAATTGATAAAGATTTACAGATTGCACGAAATTTACATTGTCCATATTAGAACGGTGACTTCACAAATGTAAATTTCCTGTTCATGATCAATAAGCTGCGACAACAAAGACACCAAAATTAAGCAAAGCGATTTTGTTCGATATTTTGCCATGGATTTACAAATGTACGATTGGCCGGTGAGGTACGAGTTCTCATGCGACGTCACAAAGCTAGACACATCAACAGAAAACGGGCTAGCTATGTTTGAATAAAACGTTAATGAAAGTCATACAGAAATGATGTTCTCCATCCTATCTTCAGTGTGTATGCTTATGGCGGATGTTAACTTCAATAACACAATGACACTACGCATCTTGATTTTAACATGACGTAATTGTGATTGTATTTTATGTTGTTTTGTATATACTGAGGCCCGCATGGAAGTTCGGGAAACTGAATATGTAGCCTCATAAAATAAAGTTGTTACTTACTTACTTACTTACTTACTTACTTACTTACTTACTTACTAAGACTCTGTGCTTGAAATGACATTTGCCCTGCCAACTTCTGGTCAAATTGAACCCTTTTGTTTTTTGTTAATTTTGGGTTTTACGTCACATCGACACAATATAGGTCATATCGCGACGTCAGCTTTACTGGTGGAGGAAGACCTCAGGTGCCCTTCCGTGCATTTTTTCAGGCACGAACGGGCACCTGAGTAGAACCACCGACGTTCCGTAAGCTAGATGGATAGCTTCCTCACATGAAAGAATCCAAAGTCCATGTCGGGATTCAGTGGTGAGGGGCAAGTGGTTTGAAGTCAACGACCTTAACCACTCGGCCACCGACGCCCCGAATTGAACCCTTTTGCAATGATCTTGGTCCTTGAGTGAGAGCCTGTGCTAAATTTTTCCCATTGCATCGCATTGAATTTCTTGTGTTGCGTTTCAGCAATTTGGTCCTACACACGGTATTGACCTTTGTTAACTCGCTACTTTCACCTAGAGACATTGTTATTATCATAAAATACGCAAAGGTTTATCTTTTTAATGAAACCCATGCAGATGACGTTTATGGCAATGTTTATTATTTCGAAAACGTTTCCTGAAACTATTTTATCATCTTCAATACACGACAGGAATGTTTTTAAAAAGTGTTTACGCCGTGTGTGTCGAATCAAATTGTCAACCCTAAAATTTAAATGGATAAATGATTGCTCAAATATTTCAGATGCCGATTCAATCATTCCATACATGACACTGCACAATTAAATGTCAGCAATATCATAAATAGTTAAGTTTCAAGTTCCGACACAAACGTTTGTTCATCAAAAAGTAGCAGTACATACTGAACTACTACGATTCTATTAAACCAATTGATATCTTATAGGAAACATATGATGACAAATTAAGATCATTTGAATTTCTCATCTCCTCTTTATTAAAAAGTACGAATGGATTATCATCAAATATTACTTCATGCTTATCTTAGAACAAGTGCAATGACTGGTCGATGAAGCAATGGAAATTAATTGCCAAATTTGCATATTAGGTATTTTTTCCACTTTTCTCATATTGTCATAAGCAGTTCGATGTAACACGCCTCAAGTTCGAGCTAAACAATTATAAACAACAGGGGGAAAAGTTCGAGATATACCCACACACAAAGTTTGGATTATAAAATTCCTAGTCTCAAATCTATCAGTTTTATAATCAATAATGGCGATAGTAAAAATAAGAGAGAGAGAGCATGACAAATAAAACAAAGACAATAAGGCGATTAATCTATCTTTTACATTATTAAAATATCAGTGCACAGTTTATTGAATATTTCATTTCACGTTTATTGATTTACCACTTCGACGACGGGAGTGAAAGGTTGACATTTTAATGAGGAGATATAAAAATATAAAAAAGTTAATACGGGAAACTATCAAGATATGAATAATTGTTCACCAGTAAGAGGTTAATTGTTGTTGTAGACTGTCCTTATTTATATTTCAAGAAGACATTATTGTAAATTTATAAACAACATTGTATTACACTAAGCATTATTTCTGGGATCGAATAATCAATCATATTTCAATTAGAGTATATACGATTGAAGGAAATTATTCATCCATTGATTCTTCAAATCTCCTCACCTCACAAGGAACATAATATGAGAGTCTTGGTTTTAATTTTGGTAATTACATTATGTGTCACATATTCTGGAGCCTGTAAGTTTTAAGTTTTCGATTTTGTGATATTTTTAGAATAATATTTAGCGTGTTTATGTGTATCAAAATAGAGAAACTGTCACGAATCACCGGAACTCTTTTTTATGTTTGTATTGAAAAATTGTTTGATGCATTACGTATTACATAAAAAGGTGGTTAAGTTTTATTTTAAATGCTGTAATATCTTGGTAAAGCGTCAAGTTGTTATTTTTCAGAGCGTTTTTATCTCAATCTTAAGCAATAAAATGATGAAATTTGAATTACTAGTACATTTTAAAAGATGCAAAATTCAACATTATCTAAGTAAAAAACTGCTCAATTTAAATAAATCGCAAACTATTTTAGAATATCATTTTTTTATTTGAATGAATTTCAAATTTTTCTTGAATTCATAAAATGATACAATAAGATAATTTTTGTTCGTGCTGCTAAATGTTTTACATATGAATTGGTCATTTGGCATTTCGGATATACTTACAAATGTAAATCACCACTCTCAAGTAAAATCTGGATCTTTGAAAAGCATCTTATGAAAATATATTTCAAAATTACTTATTTTGAGAATGACAATATGATCACATCTCGTACTTTCAGATGTAAGGTACTATCCGAGAAGACGTAAGTTTCTCTTTTTCTTTTTACTTAACGGCTACATCTAATATCATCATTATGGTTACTTATTAAATATGGAAGTTTCCTCTTTCGTGCGTGTCTTGATTTTGTTTTCAATTTATTATCAGTTTTCTTTGGCACAAAAATATTGAGATTCTTCTTATCTTAAACACAGCTGGTTTGTTGGTTAAAGTTTTCCACCAGTCATGTTTTTCTTTTTTATTTTCACTCATTGTGAAGGTATCTAAACCTTCTTAAATAATATGTGATATTTCTCCCTCATGCAGGATGCATTGACTGTTGGGGTCGACTTCGTAGAGAAGGTGAACGGTATTATGATGGTTGTAACAGATGCTTTTGCGGCTGGGACGGAGTATGATTTGTTTTAAAATTGTTTTATTTTGAATTAAAAGTGCAACTTAGAAACTCAAAATTCTAGAGAGCACTTAGTTATCTATCTCGAATATCTAGTTAATGAATTAAACGGTGTCAATCATTTCTCTCCATTACCTTTATGTATCAGATTTCTTGTAAGTATACCATTATGGGCCTTTAAAGGTGTATATTATTTGTGGATTTTTATCTATGTATTTTTTTATTTATTTATTTTGATTTATTATGTTCGTTTATTTATTTATTTATTTATTTTTATTTATTCATTTATTTATTTATTTATTATTGATTTATTTGTTTATTTATTGTGGTTTAGAGCCTAATCAGAATGGTTCCTTTCTTATTTTTCTACTAAAACCTGAAAGAGTTCTTAAGATTTTCAATATAACGTAACCTGATAGCTCTTTTTCAGTACGTTATATTTACGATGTCATAAATTTACAAGATTTCTGTTCCTCCTGGTCAATATGCAGCTAAAATTCTCGTAAAGTAACGAGCTTAGCCGAAATTTCGCAAACTACTTTTTGATAATTATTCTGATTTTTAATCCATTTACAGAGCCCTGGTTGTACACGGATGAACTGTTGCTATAACCAGTGTTTCAAAAGGTCCGGCAGACGTGGAATGTACGACGGTTACTGAAAATTAACAATCTATACATAAGCAGTTAACTCGTATATATGATTACTTTTCCCATCCTTCTTCAGCAAATTTACAATGTTTATACAATGGAATATACATGTATATTCATATACAAATCATATTTACTTCTCTCCAACGAAAACTTGCTGCGAAAGCGACCATTAAATAAAGCTGTTTTATTATTATTTCTATTAATTACATAAAAAAAAATATTTTTCCGATCATTGATGGACAGATTCTGAAACGCTTATGGATATATATTTATGACATATCTTATTTGTCTGCACCTGTATCATTGTATCTTATAATTAATTCACAAGACAGAAATCATAGAATACTAGTATTGTAACCGTCCTTGAATGAATAAAGTAACACTTTTGTTTTGGTGTCATTTATCAATGAGAATTTCTACATTTTCCCAGCATCTTCATGTATTTCTTGAAACATTGCCTGTATCGTGGAATATTATAAGCATAGAGAAATGGATTAACTGCTGATTTCATCCATAGGAGCCAATTAAAAAATTCGTACAAACTCTGATTCACACATTTGTTACAAAAAGAGATTACAACAGTTGTGATCGTGTACGGTGACCAAAAGAAAAGAAAGGAGAACACTAACATTGCAAGAAGTTTTGCAGATTTTAACTTGGGTTTCGCTGCTGTATGCTTGATATTTTCTTTAGCAAGTGCTCCTATTTTCTTTGATTTTAAACAATTGTCAGAATGAAATGAACTTCTTTCATCGCGTAACATTGGCATTGATATATTAGCGCTAGCTTTGTTTTGATGCAAACTAGTAGAGACATAACATTGTGTTGATAGAGCATGTTCTGATACGCTAAAACACTGACGTGTATTCGCTTCTTGACATTTATGTGATTTTCCTTTTCTGTCTGTCCAGCTAAAAATCTTTATCAACAAACATCCATTTATAACAGCAAGACTAACTGCCGGTAACAGGAAATCAAGGATCGACATTGTGATAACAAAATCATTTTCATAAACAAATTCAACATCACAATCCATGTACTCTGCAGTAGAATATCCAACCAGATAATTCCATGCTAAGATTGCTGGTCCGTAATAAATAAGGGATATTATCCAAGATATTATAAGAACAGTCTTAGCAACTTTCCACGTGATTTGATTTTCGTATTTGGTACGAAGGGAAATCATTAATAGTCTGTCCATGCTAAGAATAAGAATGAGTGCCGTTGCCTCAGTACATGCTGTGAAGTCGATTAGCAACCATATTTTACAAAACCAGTACCCAAATGGCCATGTAAAGTTCATCAAGGTGTACACCGTATAAAGTGGCATACTTACACTACATAGAATGAGATCCGTGACCGCCAGATTAAATATATAGAAATCATACACTTTGTTGTGATGACGGTTTTCAACGTAAGCTAACATTGTCATAATATTTCCACCAACGCCGAGAACGATCAGAATGATTAATCCAATTGCAGTAGGAACGAAGATTTCGGTTACCATAGCAATAAAGTCGTCACTGTCATCATCATTTTCGTCAGTTGCGTTGCTTATGATAGGAACCCGTAACTTGTCTGTCAGGTTTTTCATATCTATAAAAGTTATACCAATTGTTTGTTACTTCAAAGTAGGATTTGATACATCTTTTATTAATCACAGGCCCTTGGTGCATGGAGCTCCAAACGCCTTAAAATCAAAATATCAAAACATGTATATTTGTCGATCCCAGAACATACACTTACCATATCAATAACATTTACTATATCAATATACGCTGCTTTTGTGGTTTTTGTTTGTTTGTTTATTTTGGTGTTGTTGTTGTTGTTGATGATGATGTTTTTTGAAATCTTAGCAACATCTATAATATAAACAAGATAAACATGTCCATTTGAAAAAAACGTACACCTTCTCTTTGAATAACACTGTATAATTTTAAGGATATATATGATTTTTTTCACAATAGCTTATATTAATTTTATTTACTGCATATACATGTATATGGTAAGTGTTTGCACTGGAATTGATAAATACACAATTTAATTGGATATGCTATCATTCGCAATATATAAAACATAAACAAGCTTTTATAAAAACAGAAAACCATTCTACACGATGATATGATTACATTTCTTAATATTTAAGTCCAAAATTGCGGAAGTTGAAATGTTATAGAAACAAAATCAGAAAACAAGGGTCATCAGTGATGACATGTGTCGCCTCACAATAGCCAATCGCATGTTGCAGCTATTGTGTAGCAGGAGACCCAAAAGTCATCAACGGGGCAAACACAGGGGCAATAACTCAGCTGAAAATCATTCAAGCGAAAGACTTGTGTATTATGCACAAGTACTTGACGTACCAACCAATCCTGTAAGGTTTCATTGAAATTGCATTACTGGCATAAGAGGAGTAGTCCGGACAAACTTTACAAAATAAAAAAAATAATTTAAAGGGCAATAATTCCAAAAAAATTCACTGAACCATACAAAGCCAAGGATATGCACAACTAGACCTGGTGTTAAGTTTGGATGAAATTATAGCCGTAGTTTTTGAGAAGTAGTCTGGACAAGCTTTTGTATATATGGCAACACGCAAGAAATAACACTTTTTTATTCAAGGGCTATAACTCGACCAAAATTTATTCAACCGGAAAACCCGTGCAATATACGCAAAGACTTGAGCTACAAATCAATCATGTGAAGTATCATTGAAATTATTGTATTAGGTGCATAAGAGAAGTAGTTCAGACAAACTTTAAAAATAATTTTATATAAGGGGCATAACTCGGACAAAATTCATTGAACTGGAAAATGCTGACAATATGCATAAGTAGACTTAATACGGACCATTACTGTAATGTTTGAAAAAAATTGCACCAGTACTTTATGAGGAGTAGCCCGGACAAGTTTTGTGACGAACGGGCAGACAGAAAGACAAACGACGGAGTAGTGATCCCTATATGTCGCCACTATTCCGTAGAGGTGACACAAACAGTACGAAAAAAGCTACAGTTTTTCATAGGTTAAACATATTGTCTGAGAATATAACAAGATTTTGGAATACCAATAGCACTAGCAAAAGGGATACATATGCCTTCAAAAACTTGAGGTCATCTTGTGTATGAGTAGGAATGGAATCATTATTTGACCCTTGAAGAGTGAATCAAAACCAAACATTATTAGAAAATTTTCATTCAGTGTCATAATCAAAAATATAGCACCATTAAAACTTACCTCTTAAGTTAAATCCAATAACCATTTATCGTTTATATAGTTTGTGGTTATCGTTGCTTTGTTATTACTTATTATTTAGTTTGAATTGTACGCCATTTTTAAAACAAATTCTCTAATTTATTATGTTTTAAACGAATACATTTAAAATAAATTCCTAGAAGCTATGTTAGTTTACAAAATGAATCTGGGTAAATGATCAAGTTTCTATTAACAATACACTTTATATTGACCAAAATTAAAAAGATAAAACAAAATTAAAACGGCTTTTAATAAACCTTACGGGAATTGAAACAAAATTTATAAGTAGTAAAAGCAATTAAAACATACAACGATGAATCAGATAGTTATTAAAAACAAAACGATGTTTATCCAAATAATTAATTCAAAAATATAATTGTTCTCGAGAGACAAATTTACCTGTCGATCAAATTAAACAAAGTATTTCTATGACTGTTTTTATTTTAAATTAATTATTTTCTGATAACATAAATTGCTTATACTTTAATCTGTATGAAGCAGAGGAGATAACAAAAATAGACAAATCTCATTTTAATAAAATATTTATAGACAGCTGCAATTTGTGGTTTATTTACAGAGGCGAAATACGCTTTATACGTATTGATAATGTAAAACCAAACAAATCGTCGACAAAGTCCTTGCCACGTGTGATATCTTCAAATTGCACATCATTGTAGTTTGCTCAATCCAATATTATTCGAGTTTCGGATAAAGAATTACTACATCGTTAAACTTTAATATGCTCTAACACAGTGAAAATAATATTCAAAATAAAGTTAGCATAATGAATAAAAACTGTATTTATAAACACTTCTACCGCTCTACTGAGTTAATGTTATAGATGGTATTTTGGATCGTAACATCTTGCACCACTTTACCGTTTTTGTTTTTTTTGTTTTTGTTTTTAGAATTAAAGTAAAAAATACTTGTATATTTTCTTTAAACAAACGTTCAATACATAATTTTACTTTATTGACAACAGATATTGTTAACAACTGATTTCAAAAGTATCGAAGATTTTAAATGTAATGTTTAAACGTCTAGGATTATAAAGCGTCGGTCATTTTATAACTAAGTTACGAAACTACATATAGCTATATCGACATACAGTAACGTAGTTTCATTCAAAACTTCATCTGTTTAAAGATAAAGTACTGACTGAGATTTGAAAATTGATTCGTCTTTCCAATGCGGTTATAGTGAAATTACAGTAATTAATTGTTTGGAATCTTTGGTACTTTGTAAATAATGACACCTCGTGAATATTCTTCAACAATCATGGTGTAAAATGTATATATGAGTGACAACATTATAAACGGATCTCCTTTCCAAAACATAAACATATTTAAATGTTAAAATATGCATAATTTCTGATAAGACACAGGAACGTTTAGCTTGAAAGCCCATAAAAAATTATGAAGCAATTTGCTACGTAATAATACGGAAATAATTGTGATTAAACTCATAATTTATTCCCGGTTCATGTATGTAAAATACATTTTTTTCAACTATTAATCATCTTTTATCAGTTATTGCCCTGTATATGCAAAAAAAATAATGATCTATAACGTATATGCAATAACCTTTTACGTTATCATTTGGAGAAGTTAATATTCCATCAAATACAAAACCACAAAGAAATTTATATTATCTAGCTATTTATTTCATATTTAGGCATGTTTTTTATATCCTATATAATAATTATGTTTTGCGGCATGTGTGACATATATTTGTTCATTTGAATACTGTGATTCTCAATAGCCAATGAAAGCTTGATTTTGTATATAAAATATCATGAACTATGCTTGTTTTTCATTGCCATCGATTCATCAACATAAATAATGAGCCGCGTCACGACAAAACCAACATAATGGGTTTGCGACCAGTATGGATCCAGACCAGCCTGCACATCCACGCAGTCTGATCAGGATCCATGCTGTTCGCTATCAGTTCCTCTACTTGTTATAGGGTTTGTAAGCGAACAGCATGGATCCTGATCAGACTGCGCGGATGCGCAGGCTGGTCTGGATCCATGCTGGTCGCAAACCCATTATGTTGGTTTTGTCATGACACGGCTCAATTGTTATTTTTTAAGTTGTCACCGACAGAATATGATACTTTGTTTATTTCCTAATAATAATAAAAAAAGTAATTAATTATAACAAAAGTCAAAAATATAAGCGAGATAAAAATCACTAACCTTATCAAAAAGCTATTTTAGCCCATTCATTTGTTTAAAAAAGAATAATTGAATTGTTTATAATTGATAAACAATGCGGCAACAGTAAGATATATGAAAGCAATATTGTTTATGATATGACCTCATAATATTTCATTCGCATAAACTTATCATTATGAGGTTAAGCGTATATATAAATATGTAATTGTTTTGTTTTATGAGGTTAAGCGATTATATAAATATGTAATTGTTTTGATAAAGTATCATTTAGACTTCTGTTTAAATCAGTAACCATGAAAGCTATTGCGTTATTGTTGATCATTGCTTTGTGTGCTTCCTATGCGGACGCATGTAAGTACTTACCTATTGTTTTTATTTTATTATCTTCAATTTCATCACAAATAACGCTATAATAATATAACAAATAAGTGTGCTATAACAAAACATTTTTGTATGATATAAACATGTACATAAACTTTAAAGAAATTTTCTTAATTTGTAAAATTGGTTGTAAATTATTAATGAAATGCATGAATGTTGTTTAGTTTATGTCAATATAAAACATTTTCATCTTACGTACGTTTATTTGAAACAAAAAAAAACTAACATACGTTGTTTTTTTATTTCTTTAACATGTATATTTAAAATATATATTTAATCGAAGTGGTTTTTATCTTTATTCACGTAGATTATTAACAACGGGACTTAACTCAATATGAAGTCTCACAAAACAATGTATTATTCTGTCACATGTATACCAAATCTACTTCGAAATCTTCGCAAAAAAAGTATTCCGAAAACCTTTTTCTTGAGCCTGTATGTTTTGGCACATTTTTAACTGACTGGACGAATTTTGTTGGTACTTGCTTCTTTACACGATAGATGTAAAATAAAAAAAAATATGAACTTATATGTACCTTGCATATCCTTAGAATTGTTCAAAACACTTAATTCTTTATACTATCTGTAACAATATAAATAACATACATATGTGTTATTATATAGAAATTTTTCGATTTTTTCTTAGAAGTAAAATGTAAAAAGTGTTTGTAATTAAGTTATTGATTCTATTTCAGAAAATCTTTTCATTTTTTATTATGAACTTTCAGTTATAAGGTACCGTCCAAGTATTGGTATGTATTTTGTATTTTCTTCCTGCTTCCTTTTTTGATTACACATTGTAGGAAAAAGTAAATATATGAAAATATGTTAACCATGCCATGCAATCAGTATCCAAACAAAGAGATCGTAATTATATCTTGGAATATCACGACCGTAGTGGCGTCTGACACGTTATCTAAGGATTACTTGCTGGGTGGGTTAAGAATCTTTCAGTGTCCTGCCGTTGTTACCATTAGCAAGAAAATTTAAA